TTTCGGGCTAGTTCACCGGGTGAGCGTGGTCACCATGGGGGCGCGACGTCGCCGCGCTAGCTCGCTCTGCGTGCGCACGCGCGCTGCTGCGCGTGTCCGGCTGTGACTGCCCTAGCCAGACTGCCACTGGCTTTGCTGTGTGGAGCGCCGCTGCTGCTCGCACGGCTGGGCGGCGCTACAGCCTACCTCACCGTGCTGCCACACCGTCGACCCGCCTTGTGCCACGACGCAGCCGCTGCCAGTGTCATCGTATCACCATCGCGTCCGCTCCTGTCCCCTGTGCATATACCCCGCTGCTGCCCAGTTAGATGCCGCGCGCACGTGGCCAAGCTCTTCGTCGCCTTGCCATTAATGGCACTGCGCCCGCGCATGCCATGCCGGTCGATGGATGCACACGCTTGTCCGATTGCGTCCGTGCACGTAACACCTAGATCACGCCGGCCACGTCTCGCCAAGGCGAGCCCACTTGCCACCTCATCTCTCTCTCTCCCTCTGCTACCGTCGTCGAGCCATGCCATCAAATTGGCCACCGAGTGATCACTTCCGTTTAATTCAGCACGTCTGCGGCTTCACCATCAAGTTCTCTCGCTGCCCGACCCCACCCAGCCATGAAGAAGGCACTGCCAAGCTCCAATTTGGCGCTTTTCTCGCCACCGTGCCGATAAGGCCGCATCCGACCGTGGACGAGGGCAGCCCTCCTACCGTCCCTCCCGAGCCAATTCACCTGCACCACTAGCTTCGCCTTGCCTCCCTCTCCACCTTGCGCATGCCAGTGGAGCTGCTACAGCCTCCCCATCGCCGCTGATGTGACTGCACCACCACGGTGCACCGTTGCACAGCTCGACCGCACGTGGCCACACCTCCTTCGCCATCCTCCACCCAAACCATCACCTCGGCTAGGTCTACGGTAGTCCACTGATGCTCCATCGCTAGCTAGTTAGGCTCTTAGGTGCTCTGGTTCGTCGGGGTAGCCGCGCCACCGTCCTGGAAGGCCACGTGCTGTCGCAGCTGGCTCTAGTGAGTCTCGTCGCCCCGTGTTGCCACTTAGCGTAGCTGCTCAGGTCGGGGGGGGTGATCGACCCGATATGTGAGCCGACGCATGTCCCAGGTGGCCGGTGCGACCGTGCTGTGTCGCCGTCCGCCGCGCCGCCGTGCACTAAGCCGCCGGGGGTGCGCGCGGGTGAATGAGGGAAAGGACGGAGGGTTAAGTGAGAAGGTCTGAGAGAGTGGGAAATAGTGTTAGCACTTAGTTGTGATTTGGGAGAAGTGCGAGGCCTCTTTTGCAAAAGCGCCAACGTGCGCGGGACTCCCCCGCCGCGGACCGCCTCGCGAGCGGCCCGGCCTCTCGTGGGCCGCGCCAGCAGGCCACTGCTCTCGTGCGCTGCATCACGTGGGCCACGCGGGAGATTGGTTTTTCTTTTTCTAGGAATCAGTGAATGGTTTTCTAATTTAATTTCTGAACTAACCTTTGGTAATTAATATAAAATCATGTGGGTGTCCAAAAATTGTGAAACAAATTTTGTTAGGTTCCTAAAATTGTGATCTATTTGTTTGTATATTTAGTTCATATTTATATGTGTTAACACTAGAAGCTATTAAATCATTTGAAAGTGCTTCATATTATTAAGTTAATCATTGTAGGAATTTTTATGATAAATTGGTGATAGCTTTAGTCCTAAAATGTTTATAGTAGCTTCATTGTATTATTATGTGCTCACTATAATTTTTGTGGCCTTAGAATAGACTAAGCATTGGGGTAGTTAAATGTTCTTTGTTTCAAAATACATTAAATCTTTAGTATAAATAAAGATATACCCTTAATTTGCAAAGCTAAGTGTTTGTTAGTGAACCCAACACTTTGCTTGATGAAGATGGTAGTTAGCTTAGTACCTCAGTAATTAGAGCTAGCTTAGTAGCTTAGTATGCATATTCTTATTTTAAGAGTTGTTGTTGCCTAAATACTGAATTGTTGTATCATCATCGCATGCATATAGAGAACGAGTCGGCGAAGATCGTGACCACCGGCGATCATGAGTTCGAGGAGATCGTCGAGGAGTACGAGGAGGAGATTCTCGTGCAGGAGGAGGTCCCGGAGCCACCGACGACTGACTCAGCTGACACCATGTCTGCCCAAGGCAAGCCCTGGTGCATAACCCTTATTTTTCATAATCACTGTATATATATGTGATGTGCATTTACGTTACAGGAATCTTATGAAAACCACAAGCATAGATATATCTGTCCTATGAGTCCTACTAGTACAGGTTCGAGTAGCTGCTATGCTTAGATTATCGGTAGCGTGAGTAACCTACTGTTGCTCACAATAGGTGATTATTATAATTACTCTCATGATAAAAATGATGAAAGGAAAATGGAGACCGGGAAGAGATATGGTATGGGTTATGGTGGGTGTGACGAGTTATGTCCCGCGGCCACGGGGCTTAACTTGGTTATATTGTTTTCCCTATCCATATCGATTGAGGTCTGTCCGTTGCTGTGGATGGTAGTCAGGTCACAGACTTATTATCCTGAGCACATACTTGCTTATGGGAGCGGGAAGGCTCGTTACGCTCTTATCGTGGGTTTTGGCTCTTTCCAGACCGACTGATTGGAGGCAAGGAAAGGTGGAGGTCTAAGCACCATATTGAGACCAGCTCTCAAGTGTGGGGGCTTAGAGTCCAAGTTTGGACTGGGACCTGGACCTCGTAACAGGAGTGGAATGGGTTGGTCTTGTTTGTGCCCGGGGTACAAACGAGACGTGTGTTTCAGGGTACCCAGCTGTGATACATTGGTTCGTGAATCGCCGTTTCTGTGAGACGGTACGACTTGGCTATGGTCTAGCACCGTAGTAAAAACTGAAATATGAAAGATGATAAAATAGTTCTCATTGCTCAACCCTTGCTTGAAGGTAGTATAGGTGCTTACCAAGAATGGTTAGCTAATGAAGTAATCATGACTGTTAATTAAACTTGATCTTAAGGACGTATATCTAGTAATGCTTTTCGCAAACAAAAAGAAAACAACAAACCCATATTGCCTATTATACCCCTTGGAGTCGGAAAACTATTCTTATTAGTCGGGTAAGTCTTGCGAGTACATTGTGTACTCAGGGTTTATTTTACCCTGTTGCAGGAGCAGCTTGAGGAGTAGCTCTTGTGTGGAGGATTCTTCTGGTGGGCACAGACAGATCCTTGTATCATTTTCGCTAGATGTTTATTTTTATTCCGCTGTTTAATTATCGCACTCTGAACCCTGGTATTGTAATAAATAATTTTCAAAAACTCTTGTTGTATGAAATGGACTAAGTATTATAAGCTCACACTCATTATTGGATTCTGGAGGCTTGGGACTGGGAAAACTTGGGAGCAACTCAACAGAAGAATAATGGTGCTATATCTTGTTTTTTTCGTCCACGTAGCTTAAGACAAGAGCTCCTTTTATAAGCACGAAAGGTAGAAGATGAAGCGCAGAGGATGAACCTGGACGCCATGAAGCATCATGAAGCGTCCATCAATTACTAGTAACCTCTGCCATAAATATGGGGTTACTAGTAACTACAACCATGACCATGGGAGTTACTAGTAACCGCAGCCATAACTATGACCGTTACAAGTCCAGTCATCAACTACATTTAGTCCACCATTTTATTGCACATAGCATCTAATATGGCCTTAGAATTTATTTAATTTAATTATTAAATAAAATATGGGTCATACCCACATTAAATCTAACAGTAATCACCTCCGATCAATGGGAAGCTTATTGTTATTGATTCTGTGTAGGTCTCGGATTCAAATCTTGGCCATCATAATTAAATAAAATAATTATTGCTAGCTCCTATTTCCGTTTCTAAGGCTTGAAGAAGCTTTCACATGTGTGGGAGGGTTGAAGTATAAGTAAATTGTTCACCTCTTTCTATCGGTTTAAGCTTTTGGATTGAATGGACCAATACATGCAACTCAATAATTTTATCGTTCCACAGTCAAGATACCCATTTCACATCATTCTTTTCTAATTTTTAAAATATTAACCGTTAATATTTGTATCAAATAATCTTACGTTATCTTCAAATTTCCCATTATTGCATACCTTTTTTTTTGTGGCAAGACAAACCATCTTTGGAATTATAGATCTCATGCCTAATTGTTTCACTTAATGTTTACTCCTACTATGTCTGGTCAGTATTATTGAGCTTGACATTTCTTACAACCAAATTGGCAACAGTTTAGTACAGTTTCGCTGTAAAAACGCCATGTATTAATAGTTCGTGGATATAGAAACCTTAATCTAGAGCGAATCAGGTAATTCGAGTAAATAGTTATACCCTTAAATAAATACATTCTGTCCGAGTTAGTTATGAACAATTTTTTTTTACTGATGGTGGCCTTCCTTTTCTACACCAAACTATATATACCGAACATAATTCAGTATTATTCAGTAGTCGCGTTTCAGTATTATTCAGTATTTCGTGGTGCTAGGTGTAGTACTGAGTGATATTGAGCGCTATTCAGTAGTACTCAGTATTTTTTTCTGGTCAAATTTGGCTTGTGGTGTAGAATATACACCTAGGGTGTAGAATAGCGCTTATATATATATATATATATATATATATATATATATATATATATATATATATATATATATATATATATATATATATATATGACGAGTATATTCAGTAGTCAGCTACAAAATAAATTATTCTGTAGCCACCTCCATTTACGATAATTTTATATACTAATATACAAAATAAGTTATTCTGTAGCTACAAAATAAGTTTTTAATTTTCGATATATATATATCAGACACACAATACGTACATCAGTCCACCAGGCTAACATACAATAATTATCATCAACAATAAAACCAGTCAACTCTCCATGAATAACCCCAGCTGTTTGGTTCAAGGGCATGCTTAAACCCTTTTCGCTTTACTAGCGCAGGACTAGTCCATCTGATTGATCTGAATGATCCAATGCTTCTGCAACTAATTAAAAACTCTAATTCCTATCATATTGCTTCTCTGGCATTGCCATAAAGGGCTTGAATGTGAGCACAAGTCCAAGAAACTCGACGACGCTCAGGAGAAAGAACACCATCTGATCACCTGTATGTGGATTGATTGTGGAATCAGAAGAAAACTGGAAGTAGAGTGTCATAATCCTAGAGTACAGCAGCAGCAACCATAATGAGAAGTAGTGACTAAAATATCCAAAGGAGTTAATATAGCATGTGAATGCATCAAAAAGATAAAACTTGACCTGGAAAGAAGAAAGCCTGCTGGCGTCTCTGTGCCCAGGAAAACCTGCATTTGAAATTTTGCATGTATTAGTAAGTCATGAGGATACCAAAATGCCTAAGCATGTTTGGCAGTGCTTTGGGATTAAGTTAGAAATCCAAGATTATTCTAACCGAGACCTAATGAAAAATTAAATATCTCACAGAAGTGGTGAGTAACTAAAGTATATACTACTCACACAATGCCAGCCCCAGCAGGAGCGACTGCCTTGAATAAGGACATTACTGTCATGGACAGTCCATTTGCAGCTCCTCTTTGATCTTGAGGCTGAATAGTTGCACAGAGATCAGTCAATATCATACTTGTAGGATACAACAACAGAATGGCATTGAAATTGATTTGAACTTATATGCACATACCACAGCATTATTTTGAAGGATGAAAGTGCTTGTGACGATAGTAATCTGATACAACATGTCATGGATAAACTTATTAACATGAGGTGCAAAAATCCTAAGTGGTCTCCAAGTTTATATGAGTCCATTACAATAATGCAACCACTCCTGATAACAGCAGATTTATTTTCTATCTAGAATATATAAGAAAGAAATGTCATAAATGGACAAAATTTGTTCTGAAAATATCAAGGCGATGGAGAAAAGAAAATACTCACACCAAGATTATTTTTTAATACTGATGCAATATTCAAAATGATCAATAGTCCAGTTCCTGAGAGATATGTCATATAGGGATATGCGAAGAGAAGAGGTATGCACAGAATCTGCAAGATCATGCACCACATAAGACATGCAGCCAAATGAGTTAATGCTTATCAGCAGAACTACAGTTTTTACTCACAGCTGCAATTCGAGAAGACTTGATAGGTCCAAGAATTTTATTAATCCAAGGATATACAGAGAGTTGATATATAATAAGACTGACACCTGGAGATGCAAGAGGCAGATACTGTGATTTGTCAGTGTTGATATAAAAATAAATAGAAAAGGTCAGGTGTAAATAGCAGTGCCGTTGAGAAGAAAAGGACAATAGCTAGGGAAGACTTTGAATACTCTGTCTAGCTTGGGGTAAAATTAACAGTTCACGTCTACTATTGATAATCATGGACAGCTACAATTGTCAAAGTTTATAGTAGCGTAGTTTTAAAATATACTTCTGGGAAAATATGTGTGATGCCGGTTATTTCCTAGCACCTTAAGTTGTGATAGAATAACCAGCACACACACAATACAATACTGGCAACACTGATAAAAGTACCAAAATAATAAGTGTTACCTGTTATTGAAAGCACTTGACCTACATCCTGAGATGATAAGCTAAGGCCACCATACTTCTTGTCACTTTCAGCCCATAAAGAGAACACCTAAAGTCGTAGCAGTATTTAGTTCTCATAAAGCCCAAAGTTAGTACATTAAGTAGTATAATAACGTAACCGCTACCAGACAATCACTGTCGGTTGCTTTGGTAGCACCAGCAGTGATATGTGGACTTTCACTCCGGTTTGTGGCTACAACCAACAGTGATAGACAGTGTACTATCATTGCCTGTTGTAGCCATGAATTGGCAGTGAAAGTCCACATATATCACTACCGGTTTGTGGTTTAAACCGCCACTGATAAACTATTTTTGAAAAAAAAACTTTTTATATGAGGTTAGATCAGAGTAAACTTTTGACCAAAATTGTAGAGTTCAAAGAGAACTAAAACTATGTAGTTGACAACATTTTAATTGGAGATGGTTTACATGTACAAATATTCAGTATGAATTCTCAGATCAAATTTGAGATGGTTAACAATGTCTAATGGATACAAAGTCAACATCAAAGTTGTAGTACTCGATGAGATGTACAACTTTGCAGTTAACAACATTTTCATTTGAGGTCATTTAGAGTGTCAAATATATAATATTAGATTTGTAAATGTGTCATTAAAAGAATAGCAGTAGCTGTATTGTCACAAGTGTTGCATAGCTTAGCTGGTATTGACACTCTGAGATAATCTAGCATAGTGAATATTTATCATTGGCTACCATCAGTTGATTTTTCTTTTGCTTCTACAAGTTTTTTTTGAGAGGTAATCAATTGTGTGGTTACACATGCTGTTGTATATAGGTTACATATTATATAGTAGTAATCTCTGATAGGTTGTTCATTATTCATAATTGTAAGGTAATACATACAATTCCACTTAAAATTGTGTTGAGTACTTAAAAATAAATATCATGTCTGCCAGAATGTAAAACTAATTCAAGAGCACAATTAGTTGTAGAATAATCCAAAATTAACTATCTGTCCGCGGAAAGTAACCATCTGACAATAATATCAGGAGCAGGTTATTTTTTTAGATATTAAGACCATCTATTCAAAAACAAGTTTATACGATGTATCAAATATGCCTACTAGTTATATTTTTAGATCTAATACATGTTTGGAGAATACATAATTAACAGATATCACATTTAAGATAATTTTCAAAACCATAAGAAATAAAAAAGGTAGAAATATACCTCTGTATAAGCCATATCATGAAAGGAGAAGACACAATACATAATTATGGATGACAGCAATGGCCAATTCTTGAACAAACTCTTCTTGTTATCCAAGCTAGAAATTTTTTCAACCTTCTCTTTGCAGTCAATCAGATGGGCCTCCAAAGCTTCAACTATTTTATTTTCATTTTCATGAACTTTATGCTTGTGTAGTGTCTCCTAAAAATATATCAAGGTACTTTACTATATAATGTGGAAGAATAAATTTGAGGGACAAAACTAAACATCTTATTGATGGAATAATTTAAACCATAAAAAATTCCCTCGTTATTTGACATATATCATACATCATTATACCACTTATAAAAGGAAATGACATACCCACTTACCCAGTGCCGAAAGTTCCCACACAAGTTGGAGTATAGGGAAGGGAATTTCTATGCATCCTTATTCTTGTTTATTTTGCAAGGAGGTTGATTCAGACCCTCAACCTTATATATAACTAAAAAAAAAAGGAAAGGCGTCCCCTCACAGAGAAAACAAATAAAATTCTGCTCGACCTTAGTACCATGCAAAAGTTGTTCAATGTTGAAATAAACATATTAGGACCAAACTCTCTTTCTAAAATATAGATAGGACTCATGTGTTTTGTAGCGTGTCATATATATTAAAATTATCTTAAATATCAATTATGTGTTAGATTGTGCAATATAGATTGGAGCACAGAAGCATTTAGAAGATTTGAGCAAGCACAATCATGAGCACGAAAATTATAGCAATCTAACATACCGGCATCCATATACAGCTTGCAAGAACAACACTAGCAAAGAGTGATGTGCACAAGCAGGGTAAGAAATACGGGAACCTGTCAAGTTTCCACCAAATGTGAGTATTACAGAAAGCAAGAAGTATATATCTTAAATATTCTAGTTTCGATAAAAGAAAGATACCTTCCAAAGAATGAGTCTGGTGAAAAGATGTCTGGAAATTTTTCTGCAGGCTGGCGTACAAGAATTGCGTTACGGTTTCTAATAAATCATAGCCTAAAATTGTTACATTCTCTACTATATATACCAGTGCGAGGTAGCCTCCAAGAGCAGGTCCAATGATCAGACCTATCCCCCAAGCGGTGCTGACCTACAATTACAAGAAATTGAACTTTAGAATAAAAACAAGAGAAGTTCAAATTCCGTTTCATGAATATATTACAAGTGATAGTCCCAGAGCTTCATGTTCAGGTCGGCAAATTTCAATAGCATATGCCTACAAAATTTGGCCATAAAAGGCATCAGCTGATTACATCTTGCATAAAAGTATTGAACAACATGCTAATTTACCTACTTTAATTGGCCCAAGCAAACCATTTAATGCACCAAGGAGAAATCTTGTAGCTATTGCCATCCAGTAACTAGTACTAAGCCCAAACAAGGTATTAAATATGACCCTGCAATATTAACAAGATTTATTAGAGAATAGCCATATAAAATGAAATTCATTATAAGATAGGAATGAAAGAATTAATGCTTTAGTCAATACTGATGGAAGCAAGAACATTTACTAACACAGACAAAATGCCAACCATGACTACTGGCTTTCTCCCAATACGATCTGCTGCTATTCCCCAAACAGTTGAAGTCAAGCATCTACCAAGCATAAATGAAGCGCCTGAAAATTGTCCAGAAAAAGTTCAAAACATCATATATATACTCAACCATCTCACATGTGAATGAATCAGCAATTTATGAGGACTAACCCACAAATCCAGCATAGAAACCAATATCTTCTGTTCTTTTTTGCAACATGCAAGTCTCTTATCTGAGAAAGAGAGAAACTTATTAGCTAAAACAAATATGCACGCCGGCGCATATATATGGAAAAATAAATGAGAGGGGCTGATGAATTAATATTGACAAATTAATAGTTCTATCACTAGATTATTGATATCTATACAGAACAGTGAAATATCCTTAGGATTTAGGTTAAGAGGAATCATGGCATACATACCATGAAATACAAAAAAGGGAATAGTGATGACACCGGTAAAGCTGAATAGGGCAGGAGAAATGTAAGTGTTAATAAATGTACACTGAACTTTTTGCAAAAGAATAAAAAAACATATGGACCTGTTTGAGAAAAAAAATATGGACCGCTTACATGGAAATGATAGTATTCCATAGTCAGCAATAACGAGAAAATGATTATCCAGCGCGGCAACAAGTAAAGTTGCTTACATGGAAACGGACAGTGAAAAATAGAAAATAGCCTTTTTTGTATAAAAAATCGAGAAAAATTATTGGTAAGTGTTTGTAACGTTATTTAGAGTGCTTAAGCATGACCATTTTTTATTATAACAGTGTTCTCTAGATGGTTCTTAGTACCCTTGATATATATATAGAAATAACTATGGATATACTTGACCTGTTTGGGGATGCATCTAGCCTAAAGACAAATGTCCAAAAGAGTAGTGCTTATCCTATTCAGTGTGGAGAAGAGGAGATTTAGGTAATTCAGCATGCCCTTCCATGTGAAGTTTAAGAGTTTCCTTGCCGATATCTTGGTTTGCCCCTCTCTTTAAAGAAGCTCACTAAGGCTCAGACTCAGTGTATTATTGATCGGATCGCCGACCAAATGCCTGGATGGAAAGCTGATCTTTTGAGCCGGGTGGGACGAGCAATACAAGTACAGAATGTGATGACTGTCATGCTCATTTATCTGATAATGGTAGTAGACATACCGCAGTGGGCCATAAAGGCAATAGACAAAATCAGAAGAGGGTTTCTATGGCGAGGAAGGAAAGAGACAAGAGGAGGACATTGCCTAGTAGCTTGGGGCAAGGTGATGCGCCCTCGAGAGCTAGGAGGGCTGGGCATTTCAGATTTGAAGAACATGGGATGGGCACTTCGAATGCGTTGGCTATGACTGCATAAAACTGAGCCCCATCGGTCATGGAGCATGTTTCCGATTCAGGTGCCAGAGCAGGTTAGAGCCTTCTTTGCAATGGCCATAATCACTGAAGTAGGGGATGGTACTCGCACACTCATTTGGGAAGATAGGTGGCTGCATGGACAGCGCATTATAGAAGTCGCCCCTCGTTTGCATTCTTTGGTGGCTAAGAAAACTATCAAGAAACTCTCACTGAACACCTCTGGATTTCGGATATAAGAGGAGCTTCATCGATTGGAGAACTAGTAGAGTATCTTGATCTTTGGGATCTTCTCACATACTTCTCTTTACAGCCTGAAATGGAGGACGTTCATATATGGCACCTACCCCCCCTCAGGACAGTACTCCGCAAAATCTGCTTATGAACATCTCTTTCAAGGATCAACTCTATTTAGACCTTGGGAACGGATTTGGAAGACCTGGGCCCCCGGAAAATGCAAGTTCTTCTTATGGTTAGTCAAACATGACAAATGTTGGACAGCTGATTGTCTTGCCCGTCGAGGTCTGCCCTGTCCGGAACGTTGTCTTTTGTGTGATCAGGAGCAAGAGACAATTAATCATCTTCTAGTATCATGTCCCTTTGCAAGGCAATACTGGTATTCCCTGCTATGTCAGGTTGGGTTGCAGCAATTTGCTCCTCAAGCAACTGATTTGGTGTTCGATGATTGGTGGGACAGATTATGGCATGCTGCTCCGGAACAACAAAAGAACGATCTCAATTCTCTAGTTGTACACTTGTACTAGGTGCTTGGGTTCTTTGGAGTCACCGTAATTCTTATGTTTTTGATGGAGCTGCTCCTAGCATTGCAAGGGCTCTTAATGTTACCGGCGAGGAACGACGTCTTTGGGAGATAGCAGGCGCACGAAGCCTCTCTTCCTTGACTACACCGGCACCTTTGCCTTAGAGTGGCCTGGTTATTTGGTTTTTTGTGGTCCTATTTTTATGATAATTTAGCAGGCGAGAATGTAATCTAAATCTTTAGTTTGGCGTGTGTAGAGTGTGTTTGTATGTGGGTGTTTGGGTTCTTATCCCGTATTTTCTTCTTAATATAACGAAGCGCAGCTCTCCTGCGTTCTCGAGAAAAAAAATAACTTTTTCCTCCATCTGGTACATCTGAATGTCTAATAACCACCCAATTCCTCTGAACTTTTTACCGTGAAAAGGAAAAAAAAACTTTCCTACAATATCAAGAGATACAAGCCAGAATAATTTTTTCCATTATCATCTTATTAGGAGAAAATCCAAGCAGGTTGGGAGGCGGAATTCCAATCCATACCAGTAGAAAGGCAGATGATCCAGACGTACAAGAACTCCTTGTATGGCATCCCCTCCTGGAGGTCCTTCTTCTGGTCGTAAGCGCAGCCCGGGCACCCCGGATGGTACTTCTTCTCCAGCAACGGCGAACTGCTGCTCTCCTCCATTGGCGGCCACAAATGCAATCCTCAACTCTGACGAGCTTTTTGCTCACAGAACAAGAAGAGGAGGACGTGCTGTTACACCCTCTTTTTTATACATACAGAGAGAAAAATATTGTGGTGTTGAGTTCCCAGCTGATAGACATGTACAACTGTATGTATACCGCGTCAAGATCGCCAAGAAGAAGACGACGACGACGGCTACTGGATCGAAGGAAGAAGCCAAATGGTGCTGCACTGTGCCGCCGTTGCGATGGTTTGGGTGACCCATGCCGCGCCAAAGCAATTGCGTCATGCGTTGCGTCATCGCCACAGAGAGAAAGAGGAACATGTAAATGGACGGCCGCGGCGCCGAGGAACGACGATCGCAGGCGAGACAAATATGGGGGTATTTGGAATTTGGATCAATTGGCTAACAAATAGCTGATCTGTTTGCATGCTAAATATGAGAGGGCTAAATATGAGCTAATAATAAGTGCTTAATGGAGATTAATCGGTGGTTACATCCCATTAGCTCATAATTAGCCCATGTTTAGTTTATGAATTTTTTAAGAATGGTTGGGGGGGGGGGGGTTCGACGACTTACGTCAAAGCGATCCGACGGCTAGGAAGGCACAAAGCGATGAGAGGCGATAGATGTGTCTATGGTCGGTGGCCCATATGCACACAACACCTCCCATCGCCTCCGAAATTGAGGGGATTAGGACTCCAAATAAAGGAGTGGTAATTTCTTTTTCGTAGTTCTTTTATTTAATCAAGGGTAAAAGGGTAAATTCATAACAAAATCATAATGTTTTGAGTGGTATAGTTGGGGTGTATGATTCAAGAACTATAGTTTGATGAATATCTTGTTGAGTAGTATAGTTGGGTTAGATAATTCAATTAGTATAGTTAGATGAATATTTTCTTCCTAGCTCTGCCTTCGTCCATCCGTCGCGCCATCCATCCATCCACCGCCATCCTCCAGGCGGACCGACCTATAGGGCGAGCTCCGGCGGCCGCCCTAGGTCCCCTCCGGCGAGCACCACTACTACCCTGTTCTCCGGCCGGCGACGGCGTCCATCAAAGTGCGAGCACAGCCGTGCAGGTCCGATGCGAGCCGGAAGGTTGAAGAAGGTGCCCTGCTGCCTGCTGGGCCCTCTGGCCGTCTGAGAAATGGCCCATTTTCTGGCCCATTTTGGCCTTTAGGCATGGGCGGCGGCAGGGGTATGCCCCTGTATTCCTTGGCATACCCAAGATTTGAGAGAGAAAATAAACATGTATACATAGATTTATACATATATATATGGATGCATTCACGTGGTATTCTGCAATGGCTCGTAGGCCTAGTAAAACAACCAATTACGGCAGCCCACGAAGGAACCAAGCCCAGAAACGCAGAAACCATCCATTCCCGTCCGTCCCGTGAGGCCGTGACTCCTGTGCCCCGTCCGTTCCCTGCGTCGCGATTTCCTCCGCTCCGAGCCGGAAGCAGAACGTGGCCGGCCGCTAACGCCATGGTTCAACCTCTAACCTCCACCCGCGCCGAGGTTCACACCTCCCCCACTCTGGCGTCTGGCCGACTCGCCCCCTGCCCTTTTCCCTGCTGGCTGCTGCCTCCTCCCAGCGCGAACGAGCCGGCCACTGGCAGCCGAGCGGCGCCCCTTCTACTCTGCAGCACCCTCCGGCGTCCGTGTCCGGCCTACCGGCCCTCCCCAGCTACCCCTCGGCGGCTCAGCGGCTTCAAGCATGCTGAGCAGACTAGAACACCCTAGATTCACTCCTCAGTGAAACATTGAAAAGAAATTCTTTTTCTAAATTTTTTATTGCATTTTTAATTCTTGTAATGTAGACGAAGAAGAAAAGGATGTTAGCATATTTATGCAACTAATGAAGAAGGTGAAGTTGCAGATTTGGAAGCGCTTGATCATGATCCTAGGAAACGCATTCCCATCTCAAGGTTTGTTGTCAATGACCTGGATAAAGTTAGGAGGAGATATATTGAGTTGGGGCCTGTTTGGTTTAAGGAACATAAATGGCTTAAGTATAGTGTAGAAAAAAATATCATTAATCTCTTCCAATAAGGGATCACAGAGTTATATTTTAGTAGTCTTTACTATTTTGTAATATTCCTTAATTATTAGAGACGATGGCACTAAGTTTAGAACTTGTACTCTGGTTATTATTATGAATTTGTTATGGCCATTATAAATTATCATCTATTATACTGTATATTTGGTTCGAAAATTTTTATACGTGGCGTAGCCAGCTGCAAATTCCTGGCTCCGCCACCGGGTCTAAGCACCGCGCACACCAGAGGCAGGACGAAACGCGCTCCGCGCTCGGGCTCGGCGGCGGCGCTCCAAGCCGTGCTCCCTGCCTCAAAGTCCCGCCGTCCCGGCGTCCCTACTCCCTAGTCTCTACGCCGGCAGCCAGCGAGGAGCGAGCGGCGGCGGGCGTCCCTGCACGGCTGCGCCAAGGCGGCCAAGGCGCCGAGCCGGCGAGCCCCCAAGAGGCGAAGACGCCAGCAGGCAGCAGCAGCCTCGCCGGCGGACCAGGAGGAGCACGTCGTCACACGCTCAGCAGGTCCGGCGTTCAGGCCATGCCCCATTCTTCTGGCTCTGTGTGGTCCTTCTAGAAAGGTGCGTCTTCTCTTTGTACTTCGCTGGCGATGTGATGTATCATGGTGCTCTCTAGGTGCTTGTTGAATTGCCTGTGAGTCAAAAAGGTGTGTCCAGATTGCCTATGAGTAATTGCAGTCTATTTACGAAAAAGAGTTGAATTATTGTGACGTGAAATTGTAGTTTTTGGATGAATCACGGTTATCAGTTCCTTTCTGTGTGATGCTGTTTCTAAGTTTGAATCTTCCAAGTGATCAGTTTTAGTTTCTTTAATAATCGATTAGTACACAATGAAATGCCTCGATTTTGGTATAACTTATGTGAGATTAGCTTTAAGCCTTGGCGTAGACTGTTGAGGAGTCTCATGGTATAACTTATGCATAGTTTTCTCTGACACACTTAGCACCTATTGCACTAAAAAACGTATAGGATGAACTGGAGGGAGAACTTAAAGAACTGGAGGGAGCTGAGTTGGAATCTCAGCTTCTGGAGCATGTCCCAGCCAACAAGCAACCAGCTCGCCCTGTTCCACAGAATGCTACAGCTGAAAATGATGAGCTTGCTGCACTGCAAGCAGCAATGGCATTGTGATCAGGTCATTGTTTGATTCATTTGTGCATCTTAGTGTCTATTTGATGTTGGTTTCATGGGACTAATTCACTGGTGCCTATTGGCTAAATCTGAATAATGATGTGTCCAACAGGCTGTATAGCAGTATTTGTTTTGTTTTTGAAGGTCGTATAGCAGTATTTGTTGTTGATCTGATGTATAAGTGTGCATATATATTAACTTGATTTTAAATTACTCTACACTGATGCTTTGGTATGGCTCTTGGTAGTCCAGCAACCAGTCTGTTGTTCCATCCCATGGCAACGCCCCCTTGACATTGCCAAGTTCATCGTTGCTGCTCATAAGTTCAGCCATGGCTTATCCATTGACAGGTCTGTCTCCGACAACCAATTGACCAGTGCTTAGATACAAGAAACTTTCAATAAGGTAATCCTCATTTGTTTTTTTCTGAAAAAATTAGTTCAGTTTCAGATTTCTGAAAAATCAGTTTCTATGTTATATCTTGTTTGTTAATCAATGCTAATAATTTAGAATTTCCCTTGAACTAATTATTTTTATTCCGTTAATCCTTGCTAATAAGCATGCTTAAATGTTGTATCATGATTTTTTTGCACTGGTGATTTTGAATTTTGGCGTATGAGCAATCAATATTTTGTTACTATTAGTGCCATTGTATAACTATTTTTGAATGAGTACATGTGCACCGTGCTATTTTCTGCTCTTTAGTCTCTTTGTAGTAACAAAGATGCACATTGTTGATTCTGTTCCCTTTATGTGAAATCAGGCTTGTCTCAGCCTTGGCTTTTGCAATGTTGTTCTGGGCAACCGTCACCGAGGGACTTCACCGCAGCAAGAACATCCACCACGACATGAATTACCAGTGCCCTACTGCAAAGACCGGCCTGTTTGGTGTCGCTGCTTTCCTTGCCCTTGATGCCTCTCTCTTCTGGCTTGTTTGCCAGATGCTGGTCCTCAATGCAAGGGCTGACTACCTGGACGAGGATGACAACAAGGGCGAATATGGCCAGGTTTATGCTGCTGAAGTCGATGGCTCGAAGGTCTGAGCCTATGCAGTCATGCTTGTCAGGGTTCAATGATTAGTGTCACTTAACTATATTATGTCATCAACAAAGTGGCTTTAGCTCTCGTAAATTTGTATATAAGTTGGAAAGTCATGCATAAGGCTGGTGGTTATTGTGCATTCAGGTTTCAGTGTGACCAATAAACAGTATTGTCAGTACAATTGGTTTGCTACTTCCCATTGTGAGCTTATCCTTGTGCTATGCCGATCTTCTTTGTTCTATGACTAATTGTGGAAGCTTGTTCCAAACATCAGAGTTCTGGTGTCTGAATGGCATTAGCTACAAGAATGAAATATAATGATTAAATTTCATATAGTTGTAATGTAGAGAGCTTGAGCATACGGCATATCATTGTTTGATATACACTGTAAAATTTGTTACAAACACTGTAAAATTCGAGATACGACATATTAAGTTAGTTTCTGGACATGACAGACTTGATCAATCTGTTTCTGCGTTCATTCCACATTGTAGAGATCCTATAAATCTGGAAAGAGCAAGTACGATCCTATAATTATGGAGTGTGTTACGGTGTCCGATCCTATAATTATGGAGTGTGTTACGGCGCCTCGAGATCGTGGCTGGAAACTCCCGTCTCCGGTCTCCCCGCGTGCAAGGACAGCCGAGCGGCCCAACTGGGGTGAACGCGAATGTTTTTATTTTTATTTTAATTAAGGTCTGCCTTATTCACGTGGCTTAGCTGGGCCAGCCCATCGCGAGGTCGCCTGTCGCCAAGTCTGTCCACTACTACATCATAAAAATTTTATGGGTCTTCTAAATGAACTCACCAACATAGCGTGCTGGCAACTCACGAACCTCGATGCCCAAAGGGACCATTTTTTTTTTTTTTTTTTGCTCAGTTTTTTCTTTTTGCCCACTGTATTTTTATCCAAGTCCTAACGGGCAGGGGAAGGATTGGTCCCTGCTGCCGCCGTCCTCCTTTTTTTTTGCTCAGTTTTTCTTTTTGCCCACTGTTTTTTTTATCCAAGTCCTAACGGGCAAGGGAAGGATTGGTCCCTGCTGTCTCTGTCCTCCTTTTTTTTGCTCAGTTTTTCTTTTTGCCCATCGTTTTTTATCCAAGTCCTAACGGGCAAGGGAAGGATTGGTCCCTGCTGCCGCCGTCCTCCAGGCACCGTCTCTTTTTTTTTTTGCTCAGTTTTTCTTTTTGCCCACTGTTTTTTATCCAAGTCCTGACGGGCAAGGGAAGGATTGGTCCCTGCGCGCTGCCGCCGTCCTTCAGGCACCGTCTCTGATTTAATTTTTTTGCTCAGTTTTTCTTTTTGCCCACCGTTTTTTATCCAAGTCCTAACTTGCAAGGGAAGGATTGGTCCCTGCTGCCGCCATCCTCTAGGCACCGTCTCCGACGCCGTCCGCCTGGAGTCACACCTTCTCTGACGGAGCGCCGCAGCCATGGTGTCCACATCGAATGGCTCCCCGATTGATCCGACAAAGGGGCGTCGACCGGTCTCATGTCTCAAGAGAGTGATGAACCACTAGCCCTAGCATGATGGGAACTAAGCCGCCACTCTCATGTGTCATCAGAGTAGACTAATAGGCTAACACGATAAGAAAGACAGGCGATATTACTCTCATGTCTCGTCTGAGTGGACTCGTAGTCTTGCAGGATAGCAACTCAACCTACACTCTTGTGGCTTGTCTGAGTGGACTAATAGGTCTAACATGAAAGGAAGTGAACCGATCATTCTCATGTCTCGCCACAGTGAACCAATAGCCCTAACATGATAGGAACTAAGCCGCCACTCTCACGTGCCGTTCGAGTGGACTAATAGGCTAACACGATAAGAAAGTCAACCAATCACTCTCATGTCTCGTCTAAGTGTACTCGTAGTTCTAGCACGATAGCAACTCAACCTACACTCTCACGGCTCGTCTGAGTGGACTAATGCCTAAAACATAGTAATAAGTTGAACCGATCACTCTAACCACGTGTTAACAAGTGAGCCATATGATAATGTACCATATGAGCATAGTTGGAAAGCAAAATATGACGGGTTTTGCTGCGGCACATAAGTCATCAGAATTCAAGATGACACTTCTTCGCCAAGCATAAGACCAATTTGAATCAAGGAACATACGTATAGTTCGCTCATTCATACATATAGACCAAGTGGAGATTTCAAACATACATACAGGTTTCTCAGTGCATCATTCAAACAGAGGAATAAGGAATATTAAAAGGTTCCATCTGATATAATAAAAATGAAACACATAGACCACCTCTCCCTGAATCTTCTAGCTTCTTTCAGTTAACTCTAACAGGAAACTAACAAAAAAAAAAGAACAGCTGCCCCTACTTCCTACATCTTCTTCTTCCTTTTCCTCATCCTCTGCAACAAAAACCTGGCCTGTGACATAAATTCTTTTGATCAGTTATATTTCCTGTACGAAGGGTAGGCCTGGTGCAGTGGTGAGAGCTGTCTCACTGAGTTACCAGGTCGTGGGTTCGAAGCAGCCTCTCTGTAGATTTTGCGGAGGGAAGGCTTGCCTCGGGGTTTCCCTTCCCAGACCCCACTCATGTTGGAGCCTCCGGCACTTTGAGTCTTCCCCCCCCTCCCGGTTATATTTCCTGTACATGTCAAAATAAACATTGCAAAAAATGCAACAATTGCAGGCCAAGTGGAGATTTCAAAGAACAAGCTAAGCTGATGACCAGCAGAAACCAGCAGCTGGTGAAACAAAATGAAAATCAATTTTTCAGTGACAAGAAACCAAGAGTTGGGTCTTGGGCTGTCCTCATCCGAAGGCTACAATACAATTACATGATGAAACAAACAATAAAGAAAATAACAGATGGTGTTTGTTGAGGGTTATGATCAAACCCTCCTACACAGCCTGTTTCACCTGCCTCTTTCACAGCAGGCTCATGTCCAGATGCTGCAGCTTCAGGAAATGTTGGATGAACTAAATTTAAGTGAGGATCCTGACAGGTGGAGCTATATTTGGAATTCTAACAAATTTTCAGTAAAGAAAGCATATAGACACCTGAGTGGGCACCTTGATATTCATCCAGCTTTTAGATGGCTCTGGGCATGCTCTTGTCAAAGCAAACACAAGGTGTTTTTCTGGCTCCTTAAAGACAGAGTAAGCACGAGAGAATTACTGAGGAGGAAGAATATGGATTTACAGGAGTTCAACTGTGTGCTCCGTAATGCCGCGGTGGAAGAATCAATGTCTCATCTCTTCTTGGAGTGTCCCTTTGCCATTCCATGTTGGGCTCTGATTGATATACCGGCCAGTAAGCACTCAGATCATTTTCAGAGTCTGCAAAATTTTAAAGATCAGCTAAGAGTGCCCTTTTTTCATGGAGATCATCATACTGATGTGTTGGACTATTTGGAAGGCAAGGAACGATTTAATCTTCCGCCAAGTAAATCCAATCATCCAGTTGGCCAAGCAAAATTTCAAAGATGAATTTCAGCTCTTACTTTTAAGGGCCAGAAGAAGATACTCCCCCAGAATAGAGCAGTAGATTGCAAATCTTATTTAACCTGGGTTCTAGCAGTTCTTGTACTGCTTTTCTTTGTTACTTTCTTTGTTTCTTAGGCTCCCACTTCTCCTTCTGCTCTGTTCTATTCTGTTCTTTCGAGCTTTAGCGCTCTTCTTCTTGTATTTCTAAACAGCTTCTTTTGTTTTTAATATATGCTGTAGGGGTGCAAACCCCTGTAGTTTCGTTAAAAAAAACGAACAGTAGATAGATCCAATTGGATTATAGTGAGACCCATGTAATGTTTAGGTACCTAAATGAGCAGTTTTAGAGTTTAAGGACTGGGATGACACAGAGGTACGAGTTCAGGAACCGGTAGTGTACTTTACTCTATTAAAAACGATAATGATACCCTCAGGGCATCTGGAAGGACAAACGCAGCACTTCCCAGGCCTGCGCGCTACCGGACCAACATCGCCTGCTCTCTACAGCTCCTCTATCTCTCTCAAAAATATCTTCTCTACTCCTCACCGAGGGTCATCCTCTCCACTCCACTCGTTCATCGCTCCTCTACCTCTCTCTCAAAAATATCTCCTCCACTTCCCACCGAGAGTCATCCTATCCACTCCACTCGTTCCATAGCCAACAACACACTGCTCAGCATCCCTGCCCACGTGTGTGCTTTACTCTACCGCGGGGTGGGCCCCATGCCTTCCTCTCAATCACATGGCCTCATGGTATAGCTGCGGTGCTCGCGCCCTACACAGTGCGTGCTCGCCATGCCCGCACGGGTCCACGCCGTGGTAGCCACAGGTAATCGCCCCTGCCCTCCTGCTCGCGGCCTTGCGCAAGTGGTGATCGCCGAGCAGGTGCTCACCACTCTGCTAGCGCACCGGTGAGCTCTTTGCGCCGCCGCTGACCTCTGCGCCACCGTCAAGCTCCACAACGACGAGCTCCATTCGTCTAAGCAGCAAGATGATATTGCGCTGAAAGCGCATGTTGCAAGCGTATGTTTTAAGTATTTCAGAAGTTTTAGAGGTATGTTGCAAGTGTTTCAAATGGATGTTGCAAAGTAGATCGGAATGTTGCATATGTTGCAATGGTTATATACGTATGTTGCAAAAAGGTGTGTTCCCAATGTTTCATCTGTATTTCCGGACGTATGCTGCAAGTGTTTTATCTGGATGTTGCATATGTTTCACACATAAGTTACAAATGTTTCATCTGAATGTTGCATATGTTTTCACATATATGTTGCAAGTGTTTCATCTAGACGTTGCATATGTTTTGCAATGGCTACACACATGTTTTCCTGATGTTTCAGACGTATGTTGCAAATGTTTTAACTATTTCGGACGTGTATTGCAAGTGTTTCATTTAGATATTGCAAAAGTAGATCTGGTGTTCCACATGTTGTAATGGGACCCATCTGCCACAACCGCTTGCTGTGCTGGGTGTGCCTGCATGCGCGTGGGTGTAAAGGGGGTGCGAGCGGCGTGGCCAACCATGCGCTAAATTTGCAACCACACTCTTTATG